CTGATGAAGATGTTAAACAAGACTGATCCCACTTACTGATCCTTGAGGGACTTGTAACTGGCTTCCACTTGGACATCGACCCATTGACAGCCACTCTTTGGGTGCGGTCATAAAGCCAGTTCTTTATCGACTGAATTGTCCATCCATCAATCCCATATTTTATCAGCTTGGAGACCAGGATGTCATGCGGGACAGTGTCAAAGATTTTGCTCAGGTCCAAGTAGATGATGTCAGTTGTTCTTCCCTTGTCTATTGATGTTGTGACCTTCTCATAGAAGGCCACCAGGTTTGTCAGGCACAATTTGCCCTTGGTGAAGCCATGTTGCCTGTACCCAGTCACCTCTTCGTTATTCTTCTGCCTCAGCAGTGCCTCCAGGAGGATCTGCTCCATGATCTTACCAGACATGGAGGTGAGACTGACTGGCCTATAGTTCCCCAGTTCATCCTTCTTTCCCTGTTTGAAAATGTGGGTTATGTTTCCTCTTTTCCAGTCAGTGGGGACTTCACCTGACTGCCATGACTTTTGGAACGTAACAGAGAGGGATTTAGCAACCTCATCCTCCAGTTCCCTCAGTACCCGTGGGTGTATCGCATCAGGTCCCATGGACTTGTACACTTTCAGGTTCATCAGATGGTCATGAACCTGATCTTTGGTTATGATGGGCAGTTCATTCATCCAACCCCTGCCATTGTCTTCTGTGACTTCGGGAGTGTGGCTGGAGCCCTTGCCAGTGAAGACAGAGGAAAAGAAGTCATTGAGAATCTCGGTCTTCTCCAAATCACTTGTCACCAGTTCAACTGTTTTCTTTCCGAGGGATCCCAGACCTCTTCCCTGGTCTTTTTCTTACCATTAATATACCTAAAGAAACTTTTGCTGTTTCACTTGATCTCCCTGGCTAGATTTAATTCTAACTGAGCTTTTGCTTTTCTAACCTGGTGTCTTGCCCTCTCAGCCTTCTCTTCTCAAGACTAAACAGCCCCAGTTCTCTTTGTCTCTCCGCACAGGAGAGATGTTCAAGTCCCTTAATCACCCTCATAGCTCTCCATTGGACTCTCTCCAGAAGGTCCCTGTCTCTCTTGAATTGGGGAGCCCAAAACTGGACACAGTATTCCAGGTGTGGTCTCACCAGGGCAGAGTAGAGGGGGAGGAGAACCTCCCTAGACCTGCTGGACACACTTTTCTTAATGCACCCCAGGATCCAATTGGCTCTCTTGGCCACAAGGCCACATTGCTGTCCCATGGACACCTTACTGTCCACTAGGACTCCAAGGTCTTTCTCCATGGGGCTGCTTTCCAGCAGGACGTCCCCTAGTCTGTACTGGTGCCTGGTGTTATTCCTCCCCAAAGGCCAGATATATTAAGTATTTAATTTGGTTGGCTTCCATCCAGTGAGGATGGCAGTTATAGCTATGCCTTTATTTTGAGGCCACATGAATATTTTCCTTGGAGGTCAAACATGCTTAGTGGAAATGTCTTTCTTTTTCTTTTTTTTTTTTTTTAACTGTGAAACTGGAAGGGGTAGTGAAAGGATAATGATATCTGTAGTCTGTATAAGCCACAGTAGTACTTCCTTAGAAATTGCGAAGTTGGCACCTGCGATTAAGGCCATGTAGTTTTATGAAGCATCACAGTTATGAAATTCAGTATAATTTTAATTTCAGCTGTAAAAATATATGGTATTTCTTAAAATTGAGTTTGTACTGTTAATGTCTTTTTCACAGTAGTTTTCTGGACTTCATATGTTTATAATGTAGGAAATATAGATCATATTAAATTGTTGAGTACAATAGAGTTTTCTTCATTTGACTGCTGTTGTTACCCATTTTGTTATGAGTTCATTGTGAATATGTTAGTGAAATAATATATTATATCTGAAAGCTTAAAGATAATTTGAATTCCTTTTTTTTTTTTTTCTTGAAACAGATGTTCCGAAATGCGTTGGTGAAAATGTTTGAAGCTAAAGACTTGGACTGCGTGTTCTTAGAAACAAATATGAGTGTGAAGAAACGGTATCACATGGTCTATGAATGCATTCCTCTTCCAAAAGAAGTAGGAGATATGGCTCCAATTTACTTTAAGGTACACACAAATGTTCTTTCTTAGGTCATTTGAATGTGCTTATTATAATTCATCTATTTCTGGAAAATATTTTGTGATATTCAAGTCCTATTTTTGAAAAGATGGATTCTTTGATCCTACTTCTTGATCCATACTTTGATCATATTCCTTGATCTTAAAACAAGCCTTGTGAGGTAATTCTGTTTTTCAAGTAGTCAGCGAAAGAGCTGCGTGTCACTGGGCACTTCCTTCAGGTCTGGCTGCACTGACAGATACTGGGAGAAGATGAGACACTTAAGTGCAGTAAGGTTTGCGGTATTTCTCACCTGTAGTGTTTGTGATATTTCTCACGTGTAGTGTAAGCTTACAACTTCATGCATGTGCCTTGGCAAACATGAGATGAGAAAATAACGTCAATTGTTTAAGAAATATTTTCAATAAGCCCAAATTTTAAATGTTTCTTAAGTGTCTGATGAACGTTAAACAGCATGACAGATATTTCTGTAAGTTTTCTGTCCCTTTTCCCAGACCCTGTAAGGGAAGACTCATTGAAGCTTTTGTTTGGAACTTTCAGCAACTGGATCATGATTTGCCTTTTATAACTAAATTAGTTTGTTCTTTGAAGGATTATTTTTGTTTTCTGGAAATAAGGTGATTGAGTTTTGATGAAGTGGAGCAGTCAGTGTGATGAACAGCAGTGAAGTAACTTTTTAACCACATTTGAAACTCCCCACCTGGTTGATTTTATTGCTGTGCTTCACCTGTTGGTAACACTGATGTTTGCTCTGAATACTAAAGGAAAGACAAAGTACAAGATTTAATGCAATGTCGTTTGCACGGAACTTTCTTTCAGAAGTTTATACCATTAAAATACACAGCAAATGAAATTTAAAGGGTAACTATGCTATGCTTTACGTACTTTTATACTATGGAGGCAGCTTTAAAGATTTTCATGTGCTATCGGCCTTCTACATTGAATTCTTCTCTCAGTGCTTAAAAAACCCAAAAAGGTTAATATAATGTAGTGAATTCATAAGAGGTTTTGTATGAGCTTAGTAAAAAGAGCATGTGACCTTTTAGTTGAAACTTGTTAGAGATAATTTGGAAAAAGTTAAATTTTAAAAAAATAAATAATTGAGTTTGACAATATTATATGATGTCTTTATAAAGTATTTAAGTTGTGGAAATCGGAAAGGTTGCCAAAAATGAAGTTACTTTGTTAAGAAATATTTGGTACTTGTGGTGCAATGTACTTCACTGCACTGAAAAGTTAGTTCTTTGCTTGCTGTATTAAGGACTATTTTCACATTTAGATAAAATTATTTTGCAGAAAGCCATAATGGAGTCTGATGAAGAATGGTCCGTGAACAAGAAGTTAATTGATCTGTCTTCAAAAGATGTTCGGAAATCTGTAAGTAATGAAATGTATTGAACACTGAATTTTTCGGCAAATTATTCTCATCTTTTATCATTATTAACTGCTCTGAAGAGAGAAGAAAGGGAACACAATTAGATTAGTGCATAAGGAGATGGCATAGGTATGATGAGAATTAAGAGTCTGACTGAACTCGTACCTGACATTAGGGAAAAGATTCCCATTTATTTCAACAGTTGGTGAACTGAGCTGCAAGCATTCGTTGAGAACAAAGCTGGCATAATTTTCTTGATTAACTTTAAGAATTAAAATAGATCAAAGATTTGCAAATTACTTTCCTGGAAAAAATATGATATGTCTTTTTCATTGAGCTAGAGAAGCCTTTTATGTTACTAAGATTATGAAGCGAAAATATAAATAGCACTGTAAGTCCTTTTTTTTTTTTCTTTAAACAAGAGAGAAGTACTCTTATCTCTCTCCTGGATACTAAACAGACCCATCTTCGTGTATACAAATTTTAAATGGGTAATGCTGAAATTGTTAAGTTCAAAGTTTTTTCCAAATATGTAATTAAAAAGTGAAAGATGTGTGGTACGTAGACTTTACCAGAAGTAGCTTGCTGTTATGTAGTAATAATAGTTAATTTCTGAAAGTGTCTTTTAGTAAATATAGCACCTTTGCACTAAGAAAATGCTAGTGTAGGAGAAGAAAGGTTTTAATAATGAAGTCTGATACAACAAAGCGGGAGGTTAAATGCAGAATTGTAAGAGATTTGGTGGCTGTATAGAAGCAGAGGTTTTGTATATTGTGATGACTCTTGAACTAAAGCAAGAGTGGTATCGGATGTAGCAAAAAGACAAAATTTATTCTGCCACATAAGCTGAAATGTCATATAAACGTGATGGGAGGCAGTTATGGGTGGCCTCAGAGGATTCACCTGGAAAATTTGGGTCTGATTTTGGGCACAGCATTTTAAGACAGTTGCAGAAGAGGAAAACATAGAATACAAAACGAAAGAGCTAATTTAAAGGTTGTACTGTCTAGGAAAGAAAAGACTGAAATGAGATGTGATGGTTGTTTTATATATAAAAGATTGTTTTAAAGGAGATAGTATTTAGTTTGGTAGCAGTATGGAGTGCAGACAAGATGGAATTCATTTAGTTTATGGTGGGGATTTAGGGAAGACTTTAAGGTGAATGTAAGCAGAAAACAAAATAGCTGTGTTTCGAGTAAGTTCTGCTCACCAGAGTTTCTGAACAGGGAGGACCAACATCTGTCACAAATAAATGAAGTATAATTTTCTTCACATATGATAGGGCATCAGGACATCTGATTTCTTTAGCCACACAATTTTGTGACCAGTTGGTAGACCAATTCTCAGACTGTCACGACGCTTTTTAAAATTCTTCTCTAAAGTTCATCTGAGTGTAAATTGTTACACAGTCCTTGTACAGCATCGAGGTCTTCTCTGCTTCTCCCTCAGCTCCCTGCAGTGAGGGAGCTGGGGGTGGGCGGGGGGATGCCAGGGGACACAGCCAGGAGAGCTGCAAGCACTGTTCAGCGATAGCCAAAACACTGGCGTGTTCCCAACACTGATTTAGTCGCCAGTCCAAAACTCAGCACCATATGGACTGCTGGGATGAAAATGAGCTCCATCCCAGCCAACCCCAATATGTTGCTGGGCACAGAGAAGACAAAGCTGACATTTTCCTTAAGGTGTCACCCACCAACCCATTTTCTTCCTAACGTAATGATTTATTTTATTTAGTTCGTTTAAAGCATTTTATATTTCTCCCTGTGCTACATTGCCCCTCTTCATTAAATCTTAATTTTTTTTTGAGTGAATTTCCAACAATATATGGAATGGGCCTTATGACAGTTGCACAGTTATTTGGACTACAGCAGAGGAAATGCTTATGAATTTGAGGCTTTGTAAATCTTATCTCTATAGGAACATCCTCAACAAAGGAGTGGAAAATAACTTGTTGCAGTCAAAGAGGAAAAATTACTTAGCAATAAATGAATGTATTCTCACTCTGTCAGACTGGAGCATCTTTCCTGGTGGCAGGATAATCAGTGTCTCCTCCATAGGCTGACTAAATTATTAAATTATCTGATTCAGCAAGTTGATGATAAATTCCAGTCATGGAGTGGGGTTTTCTGGTAGTGGGTACTCCATGGAGATGTTTCCCTTTCCCCCTGAGTGCCAGTGTTTCCACTGTTTAAATATTTCCTCTTATCACACAACATATTCTCTTTAAATGTAACTTTCTGCTGGTTGTCTTAAAATTTCTACTCAACCCATGTCATTCAAAGGTGTGAACTCGGGAAGATGTTTGCTCAGTGTGCGTGCTGCTGCCTGGTCCTTTCCTGTCACCTGGTGTAGCAGTGGTTTCCTCTGGAGGTTCTGCTGCCCAGTAATCATCTTTTCAGTTTTCAATGTCTTTTTATCTAGTTGACGTGTGGTGTTCTTTCCCCTTACCTGCTTGTTTTACTGTTTCTGTGTTGCAATTTTATACTACATATATTTGGTTTGAGAGTTAGTTTAAAATAAATATGGTACTATCAACTCCAAAACCACTTTCAAATTCATTAAGTTCTAGGGAGGTTAACTAAAATGCCTACAGTCTGTTAAACATCTAAAAATGGGATTTTCCATGTATAGGTTCCTAAAGGATTTCCATACTTTTCTGTGGACTTCGGCCTTCAGGGAGGATTTGCTCACGTCATTGAAGATCAACACAAGTTCCCACATTACTTTGGAAAGGTATTGCCTTGTAAAAGATCAATCTACCAATTATACTGTATTTTGTAAAGTTTAAATAACTAAGATTCTGCCAGAACAGTCACTTAGATGTGCCTTATCACAGTTTATTTGCTGGCTTTTCTTGGTGGATCATTAAAACTTGGTGTGATGAATAAAGGAGTAGCTTTCTTCACTGTCACATACTGAAAATGTGATTTTAAATCTAAATTTCTTTTAAATTAATAGGAACTCTACGTACTTGATATATAGTCTAATAGATTAAAAATACCTGCGTCTGTTTAAGAGTTTCCATGGTCATAGTATTCTCATAGAGGTGCACTAATTCCTGGTTGTATAAATGAGGGTGCATAATACACAGAGACTCACAGATGACTTGTAGTAAAATATTTGTGTGATTAAATTACTCCATGTGTTCTGGAGAGTAGTATATACAGGAAAAGCTGCAATAAATTCTTTCTTTATTATGTAATCATTTATTGAAAGCGTTAATATTGCAAAACCATTAAGAATGATTGGGGAGAAATAGAACCTTGGAAGGTGTTAAGAAAAAAGTGGGCAGCTTTCTCTTTTCTGGACTTTTCTTCGTCACAGATATACTCGTATGTTAACAATCTTGCAATGTTAGGATGTTTATGCAGTGCATTGCTATGCTTTACTTAAAAGAATTTTGCTGAGGCAACCATCTAACAACTACAGTTCTTATTTTTGAATTTATATAGTTGTCAGAATTTCAAGTTTTAATGAGTAGCACTTGAAGGAAACAGTGACAATCTCATAATTTAAAAATATCTATTCTATGGTAAACTAATGTTATTTAATATGGTAATTTTGCATTTATCTGTATCTATTCTTCTTCTACTTGCAAAGGAAATTATTGGTGGCATGCTGGACTTGGAACCACGGCTCTGGAGAAAAGGAATCAGACAGAACTTTGAGGATCAGAGGAAGAAGGTGTTGCAGTTTGCACAGTGGTGGAAACCATATGACTTTACCAAAAAGAAAGAATGAGTACATCGCTGCGATCAAAGATTATATAAGCCATAATATATATTAAAGGATATTTCATATGCTAAGAATAACACCAATGTGTTATGTATTGCTAATGTATTTTTTTAAAACAGGGATATTGTTTAATTGCTGATTACCTGTTTCTGGTTTGGACACTGAGGATCACATGAACCTGCAAGCCTGACAAACCAGAAGTGTACAGTGGTTCAATTTTTTGGGTTTTAGCTGAGCCAAAAGAATAATACCCATGGGCCGTTGGGAGTTCTTCAAAATGTCGTTTCTGCTTTTGGAGTTTTTATAATCTTTGAGGCAACTGTTTTGTTTTATACTGTATTTAGCATAGACCTCTCGTGCTTAATTATCATGGTGACTTTTTGTAGAAAATGGTGTACATTTAAAAAACATTTTGATTAATACAAATACATTGTTGCAGAAGGAAGCTGTACAGAAAATAATTTTCTGATATTGAGTCCTTGTATTCTTTAAGCTGAGTCATTGCGGTAATACATTCACACAGTATGTTATTGATAGACCTGATGCTGCCACCCTGCATAAGAATTAATGCAGTTTTTTGTACTCTCTTTCAATATCGAGTAGCATTTTTCAAGCTGACCTGTTGCACAAAGGATGATGAGACAGTGCATAGCTGGTGGCAGATGACAGCTTTAATGGTAACAGTTACTTTTGATGACAATAAAAAACAAAAAAGGAAAGACAGGAGGGAAAACACTCTAGTGGCCCACAAAGAAGAAAATCATCACAGGGATCTCCCCACGTGACTCTTATTCCACAGGTGCTGCAAGTATTCTGCCATAACACTTTTCTGTAAAGTATGTAGTTTTCATCAGGACCTGCTCAGGCTCCCTGCTGGTTGTTCCTGCTTGAGGTGCTGGTCGTGCTGGCTGGAGCGTGCTCCGATCAGAGTAATGTTAACTCATTGTTAAGCTTTGTGCTTAGATGTCGCTGTGAAATGGCTCTCTGCTACTTAAAGGACTACTGTCTATCATGTTTTTCACAAGGTTTTGTTTTTTCTTTTGTGTAAGTGTTACAAAATGGGAGTAGGAAAGCATGAGGGGGAAAAAAAAAAGGATGATTCTTACATCAGCATCAATCTAGGATACCTGACATAGCAGGCGTGGGCTTTGCAGGAGAACAGGAGAAGGGCAGAAGGATGCAGATGAAAGCGTTGCTGCAGTGTCCTCCCAGTGCAGAAGAGAAAGGTTGTGGACTTGCAGATGAAAGACTGCAGTGCCACAGGGAAAGGCTCCAAATGGCAAGCGGAAGGCCCGTAGCATCATCGGAGAGATTCAGGCACTGAGCAGGTGTCTCAGCGTGCTTCCTGTTCTTTTCCGGCTGAGCCATTGCCCTGTACGCCTGTACGTCTCTGTTAACTGTTGTGAACTGCTCAGGTTAAGAAATGAACCTAAATATTACAAGGTTGAGCAGATGTTCATTTCTAGTCTCTTGGTGGTCTTCTGCAACTTTCCTGAAGAGCTAATACTTTTTTTTTTTTAATCTCCATTTTGGCAAGTAAGTCTGGTGGAGGTAGAATTCTACTATATTGTGAGTTATTTTCCATAACATCATAGTAAATTTGTGTCACGACAAGAGAAACAACTTAAAAAAAGGCTGTCCTGATAATTTTAGTGATTTAATGTCTGATTTACTCTATTTATTCACCAGCAAGCCATGGATAATAGTCACAGCTCCACTGCAGAGCCAGTTCTGCTGTTCTCCAATAAGTTTTGGTCTTCCTTAGGCTACTGGGGAGATTACAGAGCAAACAGTACATGAAATAGTAGCTGCTAGTAGTTCCTTAGAATGTGGTAACTGGAACAAATTTAGGTAAATTGTAGTCTTTGATGTAAAGCGTGACTAAAAGCTGTTTTATCTGAAACTGTCTTGCATTTGGTCTCATTGGACCCCTGAAAGGTGGCCAGGAATCATTGGGGGTGACTGTCTTTTAAGGTCACAGAAAACTCTTTATCCAATGCTGTGCTGGAGATGCAGTTTTTCTAAACAATGCCACCTCTCTCAAAACTTGTGTTCCTCAAGGGAAGCGCTGTGTTTCACAAAGGGCATCTAACTTGTATGTAGAGAAGTTTTTCTCTCTGGCTCATGGGCAGGTGTTTTTTTTATTATTCTGGTTTCAGCAATACTGTTGATATTCTTTGGACCAGAAAGTACTCTGAAATATGGAGTAAATGTAAACATCTCAAGTGAGGAAAATTTGTCTTGCCCTACTAGAAGTTTTCAGAATGGGAGACTGTACTTACCACATACATTGAGAATAGTGTCTTCCTGTAACTGGTTACAGAGCTGACATGCATCTTTTCAAGTTAAGCTGTTCTTCGTAAGTATCTCTAAATATTCATGAGGCCATGAGAGTGAACACAGCTTGTTAGGGCATTTATGTGGAAGACATGGTATGCTTAGATTTCAGTCCTTACTCTTATAAATATTAAAATATTTTAAGTGGATCTCCTTCATCCAGAAGAATACCCAATGCCTAAATTCTTTGGCACTAAGAGGTGGAAAATGTAAATGCAGGTGTCTTTAGAGAGAACAGGGGTCGAAAGCTGGATTTCTTACATTGCTGTTAATGTGCTCCTGCGTACTCTTTGGTGTAACCAGGAAGGAAAAGCAAATACTCTCTTCAAGTGAATCTGTGTGTGTGATTTAACAGGTGTTAGAACATATCCATGCCCTACCCTGTCACACAGAAATATTCTTATGCGTAATACCTGCTGCTACTGTTCTGCTCAATGCCTGTCATAAAATGGAGTGTGTCCTGGCTATCAGTTCAGGTTTTTGCAACTTACTCCTTTGTGTTTCCTTGCTGTGCTGAAGGAATTGTGTCCTCTCACCCGTCTTTCAGTGGATTCAGGGAACGCGTGGTGCACCAGCACAGCGCTGTTACTGCTGCTTGATCAAGCCCTGGGTGAGGTCTGAGCAGGAACTCAGACTCCTGGGCTTTTTCTTCAATTTCTGTCTTCTTTCTTTCAATTTCTTCAGTTTCTTTAACACTAAATTCTCTAGAAAGAATGAGGATGGATATTACAGTCAAGTAGATCATCTGCCTCGGGCTTCAATACCTTGAAGATTCCCAGCCTGGGTCTATCTTGGGAAAAATGAGCTGAACAGGCTCCTGAGAGATGTTCATTTTCTTCTTTGCTTTTTCTCAGGCTGTGCTATTTGACCTGGTATTCTCCAGGCCCATGTGGTTGCTGTAAAAAGCTGCCTGAAGCATGAGGCAGTTGTCTTCATATTGAAGGACCCACATTTTGAGGTGGTTGGTTTTGCTCAAACTGTGAGTTTGTACCATGATGTTGTAGTTTGAGCCCACCCTGCCAGGAACAAGAACTACATAGCTGCTTGCTGACCCCCATCCTTTTAGGCATGGAGAGGGAGAGATTTCAATAAAAAAGGTCCAAGGGTTAAGATTAGGACAGGGAGGATTCGCTAACCACATGGTCATGGGCAAAAACCTCAGCAGGCTTGGGGAGAAAAATTTAATTTGCAAACACCAGTTTGACTAAATTAGCTATGTCAGAGTAGGATAGTGAGAGAAATAAATACAACTAGATCTTAAATACACTCTTCTCTCACCTCTCCCTTCTTCCCAGTTACCTTCTCTCCCCTCAGTAGTGTGAAGGCGCCGGGGATGGGGAGTTACACATCGTCCATGCCGCTCCTTCCTCCTCAGGAAAAGGTCTCCTCACAGTCTTCCTCTGCTGCCACGTGGTGCCTGTTTCATGGGAGACAATAGTCTTCCTTCACATGAGTCCTTCCCACTAATGTGGGTCACACCTGTGGCCTGTAGTGTCCTCTGCTCCACCGTGGGTCCTCCTTGGAGTCAAGGTTTGCTTCGGGCATGTACTCTGCTCCTGTGTGTTCTCTGTACCCTGGCACGGGGTCCTTCCCGTGCTGCTGCCTCCTGAATGTTTCACTGCCATGGATCTCCTCAGCTGACTGTTGCCCATCGTGCCATCTCACCACAGCCCTCACCTCTGCTCTGGTGCCCTTCTTCCCCACCTTCTTCCTCACCAACCTTGGTGACCACAGGGTTGCCCTACTCACTCCCCCTCCTCTCCGAAACAAAGAAACTCCCCAGCACAAAAGACAAGATAAAGGGACTGGCCCTCTTAAATACATTGATGGCAAAGGTGCTGATTGGCCTGGCCTTGGCCAGAGATCGCACTGACTTTTACCTGGGGCTGGGGAAGGCTCTGGAAGTTTTGAAAGGACCCACTCGCACAGCCCTACCCTCCTACCAACAAACCCGACCAGACACAAACCCATGACACATGCCACTAGATACAAAATGAACTTATAAAAGCTGCCTTGGTGTTATTATGGTTATCCATAACCTGTGGCTGGTTGATGCCGAGGCAATTGCCTGAAGTCATCAGTGGATATAAACTGAGGTAATGTAAAATGAAGTTGGTGTAAGCTGAGGTAAACTCAGCTAAAATGGAAAACAAGGCTTTCTGCTAGTTACTGGTGTTCTTCCAGATAGTAGTTTTCCTTTATCTCCATGTTCTTATTGCTTTTCCCTTCATCTGTGTTTTCCTTTGGAGTAAGACTGTGAGATGCTCTGGCAGGGGGTTAGGTTAGACTAGATCTTCTTTTGAGGTCCCTTCCAACCCCAAACATTCTGTGATGCTGCACTAAATAGTGCAGTTCTCATGTAACAGATGTGGATTGTTGCTTTGTACTTGTTAAAATATCCGGAAGAGAACAATGTGGATTCTTGTTGCTTTGCTAGAAAATCAATATAGCAACATTCACTCTTAGGTCTGTTTGGGCTGATTTTCTTCCATTTTGTTCATGAATCCAAACAATGACTTATCTCCAGAGTCATAATCAAATGTGATTTAGTGGGATTGTCATATTGAATTCAGTCAACTTGTTTTAAATTTCATACAAGTTCTGATTGGAAAATACTCAGATAAATAGTATTCAAATAAATAGTAACTCTTATGACAAAAGATCACAAA